TATATTGTGATAGTCGAATGTGGTTAGAACAAGGTTTAGTTGATTATATGGCACCACAACTTTATTGGCCAATTGATCCGCCAGCACAATCTTATCCTGTTTTACTTAATTGGTGGATAAGTCAATCTACTAAAGGACGTCATGTTTATGCTGGAAATGCTGCATATAAACTGGCACAAGGTTCTGTTCAATATGAAGCAAGAGAAATAGCTCGTCAAGTAAATGTAACTCGATCAATGCGTGATCGATTAGCACTTGGTAATATTTATTTTTCAACAAAAGATATTATGAATAATATCAAAGGTATTCAAACAATACTCGCTGAACTTTACAAACAAAAAGCTATGATTCCAAAAATGAATTGGCTTTAATATTATTGGATAAACTATTATGATTGAATAATAATTTTATTGTATGTCATCTATAAAAACATTCTTTAAATAAAAAGATTTTATATTATTAAAATATATTATTTGATATACACTTAAAAATATTTTCTCATATTTATTAAAGATTTTCGAGTTTCTTTTAACTATATATTATACGAAGAGAAGTAAATACTCAAGAGGTATGTAAATATTCGTTTGATAAACTTGAAAAAACGCATATTTTTTCTCTTTTAGTTAAATAACAAGGTTATTGCATATCAATAAAATGCCGATTACCATTTAGATCGAATATAGGAAAGAAATACGTTTTTTGCTGTTTGCTTTTCGATTTGTACCCTTTACTTATACCAAATTACTATGTATTCATAATCACAAACCAATAACATCAAAAACAAATAATTATATCCGTCGATTTATTCAAATTAGTGTTTTTATTATTCCTGTAAGTCAAAAAAGACGATAGTCACAATTCTTTGCTATTCGACGTTGTACGCCCTCTACAGTCTTTTTATCCTATTGTAACCTCTATCATGCTAATGTCAATAAGAAAATACACTAAAAACAACAATCAATTTATCTAATTTATGTTATCAGTGAAAGAAAGAGAATAAAAAAAATAATTATATTTCCATCTTAATGTATTTTTTCACACGCACTAAACAACAGTAGAAATGATTCTCTGTTTAGTATGCATAATATACTTTTCTATTTTATAGTCAATTGACGAAGTATATTTTTTTTTCATACTTTATTATTTCATTAGCTTTAAATATGCAGACATGGTGCATTCGATAGGTTCCCTATCAAAACGATGTGAGTATATGTGTATATATATATATGATTAAATCAAAGATAAAAACGACATCTAATTCTTCTTCTTCTTCTTCTACTACTTAATTCAACTAATCTTACAAAGTTATATAATAATCGTTAAATTTCCCTTAGGTCACTTGAATGTTGCATGTCAAATCAAACTAAAATAATATTCTTTTACTGATACCTTTCAGGTTGTAAAAAAAATGAACATGATGAATAATATGTCAATATTTGACATCTGTTCTAGTTCTGTTTTTCTTTCGATCGTTTTATATTGCTTAAATTCACAGACATATCGCTCGCATACATTTTTCGTTCTTTATCAAACATACATATATATACAAAATCATGACTGTATCTATATCCCATAAGCGTATCACAATATTTTACAGCTTCATCTACGATTCTTTTCGTAGACACAAACAATATTTAAGAGAAAAAAAAGAAAATAAGTTATACATTATTTTTAAGATTCTTTACTGTGCTATGTAGCACATATGAGATGGACCCAGCGATACGGTATTGTGGCGATAGCCATCATTGTTGTGCTTGCATTAATATTCGTTTTACAACAAAAACGTAAGTTTAAATTTATTAAACAAAGAGAAATCACTATGTTAAAAGGTTTCTTTATTTATAGAACATTATGAAGAACAAACAAGACAAACAATTGAAACATTACAAAATCGTATTGATTATGTTTCACGTCTTAATGATGAACATTTACAAGAACTATCAAGTATAAAACAACAAAATATTCGTTTAATTCGTTCATTTAATTCAATAAAAGCTTGTCATCGTCGTAATAATATTTCAACAAATTCAATATCTAATAGTACAATAACAGATGAAACATTTAATGATAATACAGTTGATTCATTAAAGAATGGTTTTCATTTACCACCTAGTTTTAGTTATTTAAAACATCTTTCCGGTAGATATGATATGTTATCACCAGCATTTCGTCGTCAAACAACAAATACAAATTCTTTACGATCAAATGTTTCATTTATTATTGGTATACCAACGGTTAAACGTGATAAACAATCTTATCTTATTGAAACAATTAAATCTTTAATTGATAATTTAAATAATGATGATATGGAACGTTCATTAATCGTTATATTTATTGCTGAACCATTAGATATTGAATATGTTCGAACAACAGCACAGCAAATAGAAAAACTTTATAATAAATATATTGAGAATGGTTTAATTGAAATTATAAGTCCACCAATGGAATTTTATCCTGATTTTGATAATTTAAAATTAAGTTTAAATGATGATAAACAACGTGTTAAATGGCGTACAAAACAAAATTATGATTTTACTTATTTAATGATGTATTCATCAATACGAGGAAAATATTATATACAATTAGAAGATGATGTTGTTACTAAACCTGCATATATTCAAATTATTGAAAGTTTTATAAATAAACAAAAAGATCAAGATTGGTTTATGTTAGAATATTCAAGTTTAGGTAATTTTCATTGAAACAAAAAAATATTATTTGACATGTCTGAATGTGATCAACATAGTTTGTAGAAGGTTAGACTTAATGATAAGATTGATAGAATATTAAAAAAATAAATCCCAGTAGAATTTCAATGACGTCGAGGTAAACAATAAATGATATTTAGTCACGAGATGATTGATTGAATTGTATTAAGCAATGTCCCTGATGTATATAGAACTTCAAACAGAAGATTTTATATAAATGGTTAACTTTTTATTACCAATCTCAGAAGAATTCTGGAAGTAGGTATGCACCAGTCCTTCAAGTCATTAAAATTTACTATCGATTAAACG